CTGTGCTCCTCTCTCAGGGTCACCAGCCATTGTGCACTGCTGTTATGTGCAACCTCCTTCTCCCATATGCCTTTCCAGTACCTTTCAGTTTCCAGTCTTGGTGGGTCAGCTCTGTTGTTAGGACCCTGCCACTGAGCGTACACTTTCGCAGGTTCTGTTGCGAACAGCCTGTTTATTCATATGGCCTCATTCTCTTTTGTGTACCTCTTTAGGCGGCTGGACAAGGCTTGGAGCCTTTGTTTGGCAGTTTCGAGTGCTTCAGGTACGGTCATCACACCTCTCTGGGCCTCCGTCAATTGACTCACATCTTTCCGAGCCGCCTTGATCTTAGCCTCCAACCGTCTTTTCCATGGTGGGTAACGTGTCTCTTGGCTCCCATGGTTTCTCCTATAGCCAAGCATCTTTAGGATCGTATATCAGCTCATTGGTTTCCGTGATCATTACGGTTGGGATCGCCCTCAGTGCTGCATTCACACTTTCCATGAGACTTTCAGGTGGTACTTCACATAGCCGTTGTAATCGGTTTCTAGGTTGCCCAGCTTTCATTCCTGCCATGATCTTAGCTTTCAGGTCAGTTGCTGCCTCGCTCAGCATTTCATTCATTGAGGCTGGCCTCCCAATCTCATCATGTGCATTCATTGGGGCTTGCCTCCCAATCTCTGCTATCACCTCCTCTGATTTGGCAGCCTGGGGCCCTTCAATGTGGACCCTGCGTTGTACCTCGTCAATCTCAAGTTGTGACAGCAATTGCCGTTTGTGGATGTTGGAACACTGAGCTACCAGTTGTTTCGTGGTCAACCGTGACTGTGGGTTTTGAAGTAACCATTCAGCCCACATTCTCTGCATGTAACCCCTCTGAATAGGGTTGCTTGAGTAGTAGCATTCCAACAGAGCCATGTTATCGCATCTCGCCCATCTCCGCTTTGTTCCAGTAGCCCATTTTTCGTCAAGGTTCTCTGGTTCCCCTTGTTTGGCCGGGTGACGTCTGAGCCTGCATTTCATTGGATTTATTGGCTCTCATCATTGTATGAGGTAGGCATTAGCGTGAAGGATCTTGCCCAAGGACCCACACTGGATAGTGTTATGTGCTCATTTTTTGCCCCAAGCGGGATTCGAACCCCCGTCTCTCGTACGCCAAACCGGTGCCTTACCAACTGAGCTATCCAGCCGCTAAAGCGTCGTGTTCTGCAGCCCTTGCGAACACATCCACAAAACAGGAGTATGACGCGCTCAAACAGCTCTTGCTCAGACGGTTCAGTTTGTCGGACTCAGAGAGAGCTGAGAGACTCCTTTCCCTGCCAAGGTTGGGTGATGGCACGGCAGTGGATCTCATGGTCAAAATGTTGTCTCTCTTCAGCTCAGATGAGGGCGGATTCCCTTTCCCGCACATTTTCCTATGACAACTACCACCTCTTGTGCGCGCGATGTTGGCAAACTCCGCTTGTCTGGCGGACGGGCGATTATCGAGACCGAGGAAGTTGATCGAGTTCTGCTGGCTACGAGACGATTCATTCGGCGCAAAGGCTCAGCGTTGTGTATCTCCCTGCACCTACGAGGCTTTGGGAAACTTCAATGCTGGCGTTCAGTTGCGGCTGTGGGTGCCGGCAGAGAAAACGAGCTGCTCTTCATTACGGACTCATCATCAGGAAGACGTTTCTTAGTTGACACTGGGTCGTGAGTTAGCCTGCTTATGCTCACTGCCGCTGACAAGATGGCAGGTAGTTGCAGGTCACCCCTGTGTGCGGCTGACGGTTCGCCCATGGTCAATTTTGGATCCAAGGCTCTAACTGTGTGCTTCCATGGACGCGATTTCCAGTGGAACTCTATTGTTGCTTCAATCATTGTTCTAATTAGGGGCGCGGATTTCTTGTGTGCACACGGTTGCTTGGGGGCGTTGCTAATCGCAGTTTGATTGATGCTATCTCTTTCGCTACTTTTCCGAGTGAAGCTGGGGGACTCGAAACATTGACGCAGGCCAATGATTTGGCATCATGTCACGTTTATCAACGTTTGCTGACGGATTTTCCGTCATTAACGACTCCCGCTTTTCCCACGGCCATTGCGAAGCACGGGGCAGAGCATTGGCCCGCCGATTTTGGGCCTTTTCCTAAAAATGCCTTCTCCTCTGACACGGCTTCAGTCGAGTCCTCTTCACCAACATGAACGAGGAAACTGGCGCTTTTAACCTTCCTCCAGTCTGAAAAGTATGTCATCAGTTGGTGAGAGATATCGAGGGCTGCCGGCGACCACAACATCATTCACAAAGTGGTCCTTCTTGACCTGAGGATTTCATTAATGACGAGTTCAGATTCTGATCTTTCACTTGGCCACTTCTCTTCTGTCATTTTCAGAAGGTCTGGGCCTTCAAGCCATCCAATCCGCCTCAATATAGTTGTTCCACACTCAGTCCTCTCGAAGCATCGTCTGACAGATTTTGTGCTGCACGGATATATCTAAACCGTGAAATGTCAGATTCTTCCCTGATGAGCAACACTCGGTTGGCGACAAATGTGTGGAATCTATGATCCTCATTATTTTTTTTATGTTGAGATTTTGAGAACTAAGGTGCTGAATGTCCAAAATACAGAGTTCTTCAGTTCAAGGTGCAGTTCTCCTTGCAGCATCTAGTATCAGTGTTCTCTCGACTTTGGATCCTGGTGTAGCTGGCATTGTCATATCCATCCTGGCTGGCGTCAGGATATTGGCCACCATAAAAACCTCAACAAGTCAATTTGTTCATCAGCAATCTTGACCTGGCGGAACACGGGTTGAACATCTGCCACACCTGCTCTCAGTTCAAGTTGGATTTAGTTTTATTGATGCAGGGAAGTCCTTTGAGATGACATGTTCATTTGCAGTGGCGATCTGGCAGTGTACAGCAGAGTAAAACAGAGCAATATGAAGGCAAAGAGAAATATATGTAGTTGTTTTATTTCAGAATCACAAAAGCAGTTTTCCATCAAACTTGGTTTGTCCGCAGTCTATTTTAATCAGGGCTTTTTCTTATGTGACAAACATTCGGCAAAGCGGATACATTGCTGCAATGATTTAGTGGTGCTAACTGTCAACACTTGTCCACAAGAAGTCTTGAAAGTGATTCTGGCAGAACAAACACGTGTATACCTTGATTGATAGTAATGAAGTAGTTTACCTGGGACAAGCATCTTCAAGTCGCAAAATACGCCTCTGTATTGAGAAATTGCAGTCTCATGGCAAAATTCTTCATCGAATGGGTGCATTCGTGTTGGCTGCTAAGCACAGATGTGACGTTACGATCTTGCTGGTCTGCTCATTATTTTATACATTTGGTTGTTGCGTTACAGTTTGCCTATGTGTTTTGTTTATGTGTCTGCTTAGCAGCCTGATGTGCGCACCATCGTGCTTCAAGCAAAAGTTACTTTGCAATGCTCCATGTTGTGTCGATGCGACCTTTTACCCTCGGCACAGCATCTGCCGTTTCTCTCGCACCTGCTCATGCACACTCAGCACAAGCAGATTCTCATGGAGACTCGGACACACTTAATTATTTGCAGTTATTCATTTTACCAACTTTTACCTCAACTATGACTGGTTTAGGTAGCACTGTCACAAAAGCAAGTCTTTTGTGAAACAATGAAAAACTGCAGTCAAACAATATGAACACGTGGGAATAAAAATTCCCTCACAATTTCTCCATTTATTAAATGACCTTTATTTTTAAACTATTGAAATCACGTAATACAAACACAAACAGAAAATAAACCAAAACAAAATGTTTCCTTAAAAACAAAAATATTTAAAAACTAACAAACACACTGAAAATTTTAGTAAAGCTAAATTTCAAAACCAACATTCAAAATGGAAACCGTTGCAATAAAAGACGACAACTCACAATATTTTCAAACAAAAAAGATGAACATTCATTCATTCATTCATTTTCTGATCTGCTCTATCCTCACAAGGGTCGCTTGGGGGTGCTGGAGCCTATCCCAGCTGTCTTCGGGCAGTAGGCAGGGGACACCTTGAACCAGTTGCCAGCCAATCGCAGGCCACATAGAGACAAACAACCATTCACGCTCACACTCACACCTAGGGACAATTTTGAGTGTTCAATCAGCCTGCCATGCAAGTTTTTGGAATGTGGGAGGAAACCGCAGTACCCGGAGAAAACCCACGCAGTCCCGGGGAGAACATGCAAACTCCACACAGGGAGGCAGGAGCCGCGATGGAACCCATGACCCCTGCACTGTGAGGTCGACGCGCTAACCACTGGTCCACCGGGCTGCCGAAGATGAACATTTCACTCCAAAAATTTTAATTGAGCAACCTTGCATGAAAGTGCATCGAATTCACTCATCCTTGATGAAGCCTGCTCAGAGGAGAGGCCAAAGCTTCATTGATGACTGCTCTTCTCATGAACACACTTGTGATTCTTAGCCTGATATTCCACAACAAGCTTTTTAGCCACAAATTGAGAGGAAAGGGCTTCTCCCCAGTATGGGTTCTTTTTTAATTTCTCAAGATTTTCTCTTCTGAAAATCTTTAGCCACAAACTGTGCAGGAAAAGGGTTTGTCACCAGTGTGCATTCTTGTGTGTTTTGTTAACTGTACCTTGTGACAGAATCTTTGGCCAAAAACTGAGCAGGCAAAAGGTTTCTCACCAGTGGAGGTTCATAAGTGGACTTTTAAATTGGTCAGGTGAGATGAACATGAAAAAGGTTTCTCAAGACTGTGGCCAATCATATACCTCTTCAAGCTCCTTGCATAAGCAAAGCTTTTCCGCACTGAGGACATTTCCAGCGTTTTTCAGTTTTACATGTCATATTACCTTCAGGCGTTTTATCATCAGTCTCAGTAGAGCGTGGCATTATGTCAGCACCACCTGATGGTGATCATCCATCACCTTCTGATGTCATGTGCCGATATGAGCTGCTGCGTGGAGACCCCACCCCTCTGCTAGCTTCAATTTGACCTTCATCTTTACTTTTTATAGGGACAACATTCGATGACCACATGCAGATATTTTGCTCCTCCTCCTGCTCTTCTTTGATGTAGGGAGGCTTTTCTTCATCCTCCTGGGTGTGCAGATGTTTTCCTCCTTCTCTTTGATATAAATGTTTTTGACTGAGTATCAGACTGGATGGAGGTTTGGGCCTGTGTGTGTGTGCGTGTGTGTGTGTGTTTGTGTGTTTTTCACTCTGTATGCCTCTATGATTAGAATCTGGTGTTGTATCTAGCATAGCCATAAATAATTAGTCAGTTGCAGTGGAGCCATTTTCAGCATCTTCCTTAGTGGTGCTGGGCGGCGTGGTGGAAGGAAGTAAGACGACGAACTGATTCAGGTGTGGGACACAGGACAACTTTTGCTTGTGACCATTTCAGGGGTCAATGTTTTGACAATGTGTGCCGCAACGCTGCAAACACTGATGATACTATATCCATCCATCCATCCATCCATCCATTTTCCGATCCGCTTTTTCCTCACAAGGGTCGCGGGGCATGCTGGAGCCAATCCCAGCTGTCTTCGGGCAGGAGGCGGGGGACACCCTGAACTGGTTGCCAGCCAATCACAGGGCACACATAGATGAACAACCATTCACGCTCATAGTCACACTTCGGGACAATTTAGAGTGTTCCATTCACCTGCCATGCATGTTTTTGGAATGTGGGAGGAAACCGCAGTACCCGGGGAAAACCTACGCAGGCACGGGGAGAACATGCAAACTCCACACAGGAGTTTGGCATGCATGTGTAATGCTGCTCAAATGCTTTCTTGTTATTTCAGCTTCTCTCACGGTGTCCCCTGTGTGCGCTGAATACAAGCCAACGCAGCCCAACCACAAGCTGTGCATGTCCCAGGACTCCATAACAAGATGTAGTGTGACAGCCACGAAAGAGCTGTATAGTTGGGCAGCTTCACCAGACTTTGTGTCAATTTTTAAAAAAAAATTTCATAGCAGTGGAAGAGCAGGTTGTGGCTTTTTTTTCAGTTTAGTTGCAGGTCGACTTCTCTCTGCTTCAGCCTGCATCTTTTAGACCAGGGGTGTCAAAGTCAAATGGACGGAGGGCCAGATAAAAAATTTTGCTGCAAGCCGGGGGCCGGACTGATCGAATGTTCATTGAAAATTTTAAAAATGACCACATGTTGTTTATTGAACCAAATTTAATTGACTGAAAACCTAACAAATACATTCCAATATGGTCAGATAAATAAAGCAACATTTTTTT